GGGGGGGGGGGGGCGAAATTTAAGATATAAACATAATGAATCCATGTCAGCTCAACCAAATACCCTGTGATTTTTGGGCAGGGAATTTTTGCTTCATAAACTTCTTAAACTGGAGGTAACATACAAGGAGTATCTTTGCAGCATTTTTTTATCCAGCAAACGAACCCCAAACATTGCTATTCACAGTGAGGCTGTGGGACCTGATCAGGTCTGGGCATCCCATCACTGAGGCTCTTCTGAGCTCACCCATGAAGATCCCCCCACCTCACAGCCATTCAGCCTTCTCCTCTACCTCTCCACTGCCCTCTCCATCCACCCCTTTCTGTGCACTCCGACAAGAAGAAGTGATAGCTCTATTTCTGTTTTTTAACAAGATTTGGAAAGCATTCAAGTGGCTGACTAAGTGGTTGGAAACAAGGAAGCAGAAGGATGTTTTGGCATCCTGCGATGTGTGCATGAAGAGCATAGACACAAACACATTGAATGCACATACTGTAAAACAAGATTACAAGGAGAGTATGAACTAATAAAAGACTATTAAAACATCATGGATGCTATTGCTGCTCGAGTGCATGCCTACATATTAAAATAACAAATATTTCATGTGAACATGCAGCTTGAACATGACTGATCGCAGATATAACTTTCAGCAACCTTTAAATACATAACACCATCCTGTAATTAATGTAGCCTATCCTGAAATTTGAGGGATTTATTGATACTGGCAGAAATATTTGCAAATAATTGGGGAAGTTCATGACATACCTTCTATCTCAAGGGATTTAATTCATTTTTTTCCTTTTTTTTTTTTTTCTTTTTTTTTCCCAGCTACCATCAATAAATTCATTCTTACCATAAGACAACAAATGCAACTGGAAATCCTCAGTACAAAGTCTGAAGAAAGTACCAATGTGGAGAAAGAGCCTTGTTGTGTTTTTATTTCTTTTGTTCTCTTTCACTTACAGTGAAATGTATAACCATGTTTGAGAAGATTGCTTCTGAGGTCTGCATCGAAAAAAAAAAAGCAAAAGCAGGCCATAGGCAAAGTAAGTTGCAAAATGATTTTACCCAAATTCTTCAGGAAAACCCGTGGCCAACCCATTAGCCCAAGCATGAAGTAGGCTGCCAGCACTGAAATATTATGTATTGGTACAGACCATATGGACAGAGAGGTTACATCTTTTATAAGGCCAACTGATATAGTTGGGGAAAAAGAAATGTTTCAACACAGCCCTTTCCTGGAGCAATGAAGGTGTCAACACCCTCAGCCTGGGAAAGGTGCTGGTTTGTTGGGTGGCCAAGGAAGAAGAGATGAATCCCAACACTGTGGTGCATGTTCTTCACATTCTACAATTGCTACAAAACTTGGCTGAGACCCTACAGACATGTATTTAAAATTTATCCACTAGGCAGGACAAAGAAACATCCCATCATTCTGCTAGGAGAGGGTTTCCATACCTGAGGTCTGCTGAGTGCCAGCATGCAGACAGCATGCGGAGCATCAGATGGCAGGTTATTTTGCTGTTAACAAGCTGCATCTAAGCAGGTTAGTGGACCAGACTGGCACATGTTCCCCCTCACTTGATCTTCATGTTTCTGCATGGTTTCTTGAAATATTGTAAAGCGTTTCTTTTGTGGGACTCCTCATGAGGTATTTTTGCCTTTGAGTGCGTATATTTGTACACACCTACATAAACAGGATTAAAGATGGTAAGACAAAAGAATAACATTTATTTTAGAAAATTATTCAATTTAAAAAAAAAAAAATCTTGTTTTCTATCTTTCTTTCTAAGAGGTACTGATCTCACATGAGAAGCGATCAGCCATTTGTACAAAAAAAGGCCAACAATACCTGAGAAATACCCCAAAATGTGCTTCTGATCTACTTGTATCATTGACTTGTATGCATTGGCTATGTTTCAAACAGCAAGCAGAGCCAGGGTGGGGTACAAATAACTGCACATAAAGTACTGGGGGTGCCTCAGCCCTCCTCATGGCTTCTCCATCCCTCCCACCTGTTTCCCACTGCATTGCATTGAGCTCCCCAATGTTTCCTCATGCTTTACTCTCCTACATCGTCAAACATTTGAAGTGTCTCCAACTCAAGGTCCACAAGCCTGTGCTCCAGTAAACTGGAGCTATGGGGGGGGGGG